CCCCCCCCCACCCATGTTCCAGCCCCAGGTCCTAATTCCATGCCTTGTCTCAGTGACATGTTGCAACTGATAGCCCCAGTATCTCTGTGTTCCTTCTTCCCATCTCACCTGCCATTAGACATCAACAGGGCCAGCGGGCCCTCATTCCCATCAAGGTCCAAGTCTGGCGAGTCATCATCTGAGTCATTCAGGCAGGTACCAGTGATGTTGAACTGCAGAAGGAGGAGGCTCAGTTGTCACCTGTCTGGGACTCCCATGTGAATCACGATGACCAGTTCCTTCCGGTTTCACTGGTTGAGTTCACTGTTAAAATCACCTGAACCAAGGCCTTCTGCTACACTGTCTCCCACCCCCACCCCAAATGATTCCAGGAACAGGAGGTTGACAATGAATGGCTACCCCAGGGGAAACCTATCAATCTTGTAAACCGTGTTCTCTAAAAAGAGGGGAGAGGATCTTCACATGCCCATGGAGAACACCACAATCTTGAAGCAAGGTAGAGCCCCAGAGAAGGGCTTTTCTTAAGGACCTGTTCAAGACTCCAACATGACACTCATATACCATGTTCTTAAATGTCATTCCCAACCAGCATTTCAAGATTCAGCTCAAGTGTCATTTTTTGAGAGAAGAGCTCCTGATCATAGCTTATGCCCACATAAAATCATCCACCCCTCTGTGTCTCAGGGTCCCCCACACACCCTTGATTATGGCATCCACAATACCTCATTGCACTCATTCGTTTTTATGCCTGCTATTCTCACTAGCCTGTCAGCCTCTTGAAGGTTACATTCACAGCACCTATCACAGTGCCCAGCACAGACAAGGTCTCAATAAATGCCTGTTATATGAGTGGGACTGGTAGCCAAACACCAGGGGCCCTAAGGGAGGTGGGAAGAGAGGACAATCCTTTTGATACCCTGCTCTTCCAAGGGACCCAAAAGGGCTGGGCTGAACCCATGGGCCAGCACCCACCTTTGCTTTCTGGGAAGAGCCTGTCTTCAGTGCCTGATGATTGTATGTATCCATGAGATTATAGCTCAATTGGCCAGCAGGCCCCAAGGCTGAGCTCTCCTTGCCCTTTCGCTCTGCCTTCTTGAAGAGTTCCTTGGGCTTCAGGCCTTTCTTCTTTGAACCACTTTTGGAGGGCAGTGACAGCCTGGACATGGATACTGAAGTGGAATGGACTGGCCTGGTTAAGGGAATGGAGCCAGCTGGGAAGATCCTCTGCAGCCCAAAGATATTGCTCGTCTTCCCAACGTTCTGTTGGAAGATATCCTACAAGAGTGTTAGTACACGAGGGGGTTAGAGCTTACTCAAGAGTTCTCTCTATGCTAAGAGCAGAGGACTGTTCATGGCACCAGCACTACTGCCATGGAAGTGGCTTACGGATGCTCCACATCTAGATGCACACCCTAGTTTTTTTCACAATGTGTCATCAAGAATTTACGGGGTGGCATATCTTTACCCAGCCATTGACAAGTAAGGAGAAGACGAGCAGAGAAAAAGCCCAGCACTACTGTCAAAATTGGAGAAAAAAGACTCCAAATGCAGCTGGCATGAGACAGAAAATACTTGAGTACTAAACTATGGTTCCAACTCTAAGGACTGCAGGATTTGAGAGGAGAGAGGTTCTAGTCCTGATTCTGCTACTAGCTAGCTCTGTGACCACAGGTAAGTGATCTGAACACTCTGAGGCTGTTTGCTTGGCTGTAAAATTAAAGGATCAGACTGGAAAGGTGGTTTTAAAAGATGATCTGTGGCTCCTTTGAACTTCTTGAGAGGAGCCCTGAAGACTGGAAGTAGGTAGAAGGCAAACAAGAGGAACATGTGTAATTCTAAGCCTCTTGTTTTTATCTTATTCACTGCAGCTATGCTTTGATTCAGCTTCCATGTAGGATCTCATTTGAAAAACAAAAGGTTCCACTGCTTTAAAACATTTGAAAGCCAATGGACCAGACATGATCCATCTCTAAGTCCTTTTCTAACAAGCTCAAAATTTTGTATATACAAAATTGGTTTAAGTGCAAAGAGCTGGAGAAAAGGTAGGCCTTGTAACTAAACTCTGAAGGACTGTGACAGATGGGAATGCAGGAAAATGGGGTGGGAGGTGGACAATGTAAGCTATGGTGTAGGCAGTGAAACATGCTGTAAGCGGTGAGGCTAGAAAGCCCAACTTCCCAGTAGCTCACGCTGACCACCCTTTAGCATGGATTTGAGTGCCTATATCCTGAGTGCTAAATGGAAAGTTGACAGCTTCTGAGCTAAAGGAAAGTTTAAACTTCCCTAAGTCCAATTCTCCTCTGGTGCCTCTGCTACTTCACCAGCCCACACTGAGTTCTCTCTTTGCTGCAAAGTCTATTAATAACAATGGCTCACATTTATTGAGTACTTACTCTGCCAGGCACTGTTCGAGGGGCTCTACATACATTAGCTCTTAATCCTAACAAAACTCTGAAAAGGTGGTGTTATTCTCCCTTTACAGATAAGGATACTAAGGCTCTGAAAGGCTTGCAAATGACAGAGCAGGAACCAGAACCCAAGTTTCTCTGAGTCTCTTACCATCTACACCTTACTGCCTTGTGGTATAAGCACCTGTTGAAACATGGCTTTGTACTCATGTTTAACATGGAAGAGCTGTCATTTTGTAGAATGCAGAGACTGAGTCAAAATATTAGTAACAACAACTACTACTATGAACTCCACCACCCACTACTACTGTGACCCACCATCAGAATTTATTGAATACCTATTATGTGCCAAGTACTATACTTAGTGCTCAACATATATTACCTTATGTAATCCTTTTAACAAACTCCTGAGTAGGTATAATTATCCCCACTTTAGAAACAAGGAAACTGAGGCTCAGGCAGTAAACTTCGCCCAGAGTCCTCTACAGGATTCCAAGTTCTTTGTGGGAAGACACTGAATTACGTATTCTAAGCACCTAGCCTAATGTGAGACACTCAAAGCACATAATTATTATTTAAATGAATGAATAAACAGAATCTTTGGTGGGGTTTTTCCAACCCTTCCCCTGAGCTCTCAAGCCAACTGAAGAAGCCTGACCTGCCACTTGAGCCTTGAGCCCTTCCCAAACGCCTCCCCTGCTCCCCTGCTTCTTACTTCCACCAGGCGGATCTCCCTAGCCAGATCTTTAATGAGCTGTACGGTCCGTACTGTCTCCGGAATCTCATCCTCGTGGTCTGGCAGAGCCTGTCAAACAAAAGGCATAAGGAATAGACCCACACATAAACGGACAACTGATTTTTGACAAAGGTACCAAGGTAATTCAATGGATAAGGGTAGTTACTCTAAAAAATGGTACTGGACCAATTGGATACCCATATGCAAAAAAAAGAACCTCAATCCACATCTTGCACCACACACTCACACACAGGCACACAAACTCAAATTGGATCATAGACTGAAATGTAAAATCTAAAACTATAACCCCTTTAGAAGAAAACAGAGGAGAAAATCTTTGTGACCTTGGGTTAAACGAAGATTTCTGAGGACACAAAAAGCATGAGCCATAAAAGAAAAACAACTGATAAATTGGACTTCATAAAAAATAAAATCTTCTCTTCCAAAACCACTATTAAGACAAACCAGAGACTGTGAGGCAGTATTTGCAAAACCTGTATCTGATAAAGGGCAGTGTCAAGAGGTGTGAGGAACTCAATGGTGGGCTTGGGCCATAGCCCTCAAAAAGTCCAGAATCCCTAGGGAGAACGTGGCCTCTTTACTTGTGAGGACAGAGCTCAGTGCTGAGCAGCTACAGGCCCATGGCTAGCTCAACAGCAACCAAGGCTAAGACCTCTTGGTTGTCTCTCTTTTAATTTGTTTGTAATCTTTTTGAATCCTCAAGATTTACATCTTTATGTAGACAGATCTCCCAAGTTTCTCCCTTGTGATTTCTTCTACCAGTTTTCACTTCACTTCTGTATCCAGAGGACTGATAAAAACTCCTCAGCATTACCTTCTTACTTCCCATGGTTTGAATCTTCTTTTTTCCTTGACTCTTTTAATCCATCTTTATTTTGGTGGCTGGGCAGGGTGGGGTCCGAGAATCCATGTGATCCAGCTGGATAAATTTAATAGCTCCCTCCACCCAGCCCAAGGGCTCTGGAAAGGTCAGGGAGTGAGTACTTCCCATGGAAGTCATCTTCACTTCACAAAAGACTTATTCCATAAGAATGGGCTCCTCAGATCTGTGTCCTACTCTCCTCCAGCTCCCTTTGGCTGTGCTATTTGGGGCCAACCTGGCTCAGGGCCTGAGTGCTTAAGACTCTTCCCGCCCTCCCTCCCTTTTGTTATTCCTGGGACAGAGTCACTCCAAAGTTCACCTCATGGAGGGGGGGAGGGGAAGGTCCGAAATGAAACCCAAGGCAGCCACACCTGAGGGATGTGGAGAAACAGAACAGTAGGCTAAGGCCCAGGTGTAGGTGAGTCCAGGGACGAAGAGAAGGCCCAAGACATGAAGTCCAAGGATATCTGAGGGGAAGGTTGGCAACAGGAAATGGAGACATTGTACAAGTTAAGCCTATAATGGCTGAAGATCTCCATATGCAGGGGGAAAAGTCTATAAAGAATATCAAAAGCATGAGAATATTGATATTTCTCTTTCTTTGTATTTCTTAAAATTGTTTTTTTAAGTCAACATTTTGAGTAGGTAATCCATTTACAGAGTTCAAAAATCAAATAATATAAAGAGATATACTGAAAAGTGTCAACATACATTTGTCCATGCCATCAGTCCCATTAGCCCGCACCCACAGGTAACCACTTTTCTTCTACATCCCTCCAGATTGTGTCTTCAGGCAAATACAAGCACATATAGATGTAATTCTTGTCCCCCCTCCCCACTTTTAACACATAAAGAAGCACATTATATACATGATTCTACATCTTTACTTGACAAATTCTGGAGATCTTTCCAGATCAGTACAGAGAAAACTTCCTTATTCTCTTTTATAGCTGTTTAGTATTCAATTGGATAGATGGACATTGGTGTATTTCTACAAAGCCATTTTGGCAGTATGCAGTAAGAGCCTTACGTTTTTTTCATATACTTTGAGCCAAAAATTGCTCTTCTTGGAATCTATCCTGAAGCATCAAGAGATGAGGGAAAAAGGCTGATGCAAACAGATAGTCACTGCATGATTTTTCAATAACTACCCCCCAAATAAAGCAATAATAAACAAGCAGTTAGGTAAGGATGGTATATCCCTGCAAAAGAATATCATGTAACTATTAAATGTTCGTGGAGAACTTTGAGGACACAGGAAATTAACATAAGCTAACAAATTCAGATACAAAATTGTATGTATAGTGATAGCAATCATGTTTCTTAAATGCATATAAAAAAGACCAGAAGAAAATACACCCACAGATTAATGTTAATTCCCTCTGAGTGCTAAAATTACAGGTGATGTTTTTCCTTCCTTACACTCTTCTGTATTTTTTCTAATTCTCTAGAGTAAGCCTGTGTCACTTTTTATAATCAGAAAGAAAGGTTTAAAAATGTAATCCAAAAAGTCCTAACCCAGTCCTCCATTCTAACCCCAGAAGGCCACAAGCCTCCCTGGTCTCATCCACCACCCCAAAGCATCTACCCAAAGCCAGTCTCTGTGGAGGCCACAACTATAAAGGAGGTAGAGAAATAAGTATATTTACTTCTTTCTTTGTCCAGGCTCTAAAGGCCAAGTTCAGAGCTTTGCCACCATGGACCAGGTAGGATGCTGGGTGCCTCCTATTCTCTCGCAAACCTAAAGGGCGAAGGAGGAAGGCAGAGGGTCAATAAAGCCATGTGGGGAAGCAAAGGAACTGTTTCTTTTTTCAGGCAATCAGAGAAAATACTCAGGGTTCTAGGCATGACTCCAGATCTCAGTTCTTACAATAGTGTTCATTTAATGAGTACCTACTACATGCTGGGCGTTTAATATCTACTATCTCATTTAATCTTTATACCCACCTACTACCCAAGCATCATTATCTTCACTTTACTATCCAGGAAACTGAGGCTCAGAGAAGCAAAGAGACTTAACCAAGGGCACATACCTAGTAACTGCCAAAGCTAAGACTGAAGCCATGTCTATCTGAATCTGAGGCCTATGTTCCTTCTACCACACTGGAAGTGTGCTCTGCCTCTTGGGTTTCAAAATGCAAACACTCAGGAGAACCATGATTGCAACCTACACAGACATGAAGGGCCATTAATAAATGCCCTTATCCCTGAGTCACTCCAAGAGGAGGTTATGACAAATAGCCAGCTTTATGGTCAATACGGAATTTTCTACTGAACTGAGCTATTCAGAACAGGTAACAAGTGGCTAATCATTGAGCCTCTGATTGAACACTTAAGTGCAGTCTGTCTAGGTGGCAGATTAAGGGCCTGAAGTAGTAGGTAGAAGACTGTATTCATTGGCCTTTGAGATTCTTTGTAAATCTAAAATACTGATTGCTCATGGCCAAGTTACCTTGAAGAATCTCAGGTCTGAGCAAGGTTGCTGCTCCATTTCAAAGCAGAAAAGAAGAAACCCAGCAGTTTGGCTTACCACCTGGTCTGATACCAACACAATGATGCCAGCATGGTCAGGACTGGCCTTGTCCTCATCTCATGGGAAGCACATTCAGGAAACTCTGAGACTGTCCAGTTTGAGTTTCTTACTTTAATTAGCAGGGGATAGGGATAATTTCACTGTAATTCAATTTTCTCAGCCACCTTTGCTAAATAAAGTTAAAATACATGCTCTACCATACATTATACTTAATAAAAAGTCAATCTCAAAAGATCACACACTATATGATTCCATGTTTACAGCATTCTTGACAAAATTATAGAGATGGGAAACATATCAGCAGTTTCCAGAAAGTATGGATAGTGCAAGGGGAAAGAATGGGTGAGACTATAAAGAAGTAACACTAGGGAGTTCTCTGTGGTGATGGAACGAACACACACACACACACACACACACACACACACACACACACTTACACTTGGGGAAGCAGGGCAAAAGGGACAGCTGGGAAAGGGATCCATACCTCGAAAGATGTCCAGGATGTGCTTTCCCACGTACCAACAGATGGTCTCAAAGTTAGGAAACTTGAAGAGGTCTGCTGTGCTCAGCCGCTTCTCAATCTCATAGGCTCTAGAGGAAGCAGGCACAATAATAGCAATGATAATAAGGATCCTGTTACTGAGTACCTACTGTGTATCAGGTATTGTTCTGAATGTTTTGTATCCATTATCTCTAATCCTCACAACTACCCTGTAAGATCCAACTTTGTGGGTTAGGAAACTTGAGCTCAAATGTTATGTGACTTACCCAAAGTCACAAAACTACTAAGTAAGGAAGGGGTATTCATTCTCACACTGATCATTATCAGGAACCAGTATCTATTCCCTTCTCATCATCTCGCCTCCTTCTATGCTGCACTTCTCACTATAGGGGAGAACTCAAGGACTCTGGCAGGTGGGAACGGCCAACTCAGGATCACAATAGCTTGAGTACTCACTTGAGCTGCATTTCGATGTTAAGGCTGTGTAAGAAGTTCCCTCCAAAGGCAAGGCAGTCCACGGGAGTCAGCACAGCATGGATCCATCCTGCAGTGTAACATGGCAAAATCATAGCTGGCAGAGGACCTTACTTCCTCTGGACATCACTGCCCACTCAGCTCAAACATAACTCCTTAGAGCAGCCAGCCAGCAGTGACTCAGAAAGTTCTAGTTCCTCCACTCTTCCAACACCCATTCTGCCACCATTATAACCCTAAACTGGACCACCTTTTGGGGTTAATAAACTCTTTCGACTTTCCTCCTCTCAACCTCAAGTCTCTTTGATGCCTCACCCATCTTCTCTCCCATATCTTAGAAGGGCATTACCTCCTTGCCAAGTCTATCCCTTCTAACTCTACTCCAGGTAAAACAAAGAGCTTTTGTGTTGAACAAACCTGGGTTCAAAGTCTGCCATCTTCTAGCTAAATATCTATTTCACAAGGTGATTGTGTACAGTGTGCACCTAGATGGAACTCAATTATTCTCCTTGCCCTTAACCCTACACTGCCTTCTGGGAAGTTCTAATTCTACTCTTAAATATCTCTCATATTCATCTTCCTTTCCCGGTTCATCCATCCTATCAAAGCCTTGGTTCAGATCCCTTATTACCTGTCACCTAGGCTATTTGCAACAGCCTCTAAACTGGCTCCTCTACACCAGCGGTTCTCATGGTATGGTCCAGGGAATCCTGAAGCTCCCTGATACTCCTTCAGAGCATATGCAAGGTCAAAACTATGCTCATAATACTAAGATGTTGTCTTTTTCACCCTCATTCCCTCACAGGTGTAGAGTGGAGTTTTCCAGAGGGTAAATGACATGACATCACAACACCGAGAAGCAGATTTAAGTATCAGTCATTTTCTATTAATCTAAACATCAAAAAGATTTTTAAAAAAGTAGATGTCACTCTTATCACTGCATTTTTGGTTTGAAAATAGCTATTTTTCATAAAAATTATTAATCATGCTAACATGTAATGAGTTTATTTCTCAATGAATTAATAAACAAATATTTTTAAATTTTCTCAGTTTTAATTTATAATATGGTAAATATTGATGACTATAATCCACATAAATAAAAGCCCTTTGGGGTTCTCAGTAATACTAAAGAGTATAAAGGGGTCCTAAGTGCAAAGTGTTTGTAAACCACTGCTCTGTGCTAATCTCAATCTCTGAAGTCTATCCTCCACATCTCAACCCTAAGTGATATATCTAAAATACAAATCTGCTCATGTCATCCCCTGCTCAAAACCCTTCAATAAAATGTACATCCACAGGAGAATAGATAAATTGCCATATACTAATACAATAGAATATTGAAAAGTAAGTTGAGTGAACAACTACATGTATCAGCATGAATCTCATAATCATAATGTCCACAGGAAAAAGTTGGGAAGAACTGTCTAATATGATTCCATCTACATAACATCCAAAAACATGTAAAACAATACTAGATACTGGTTTGGTGAGCTATACCTATACAATAAAGGAATAGAAATAATCACCAACTTCAGAACAATGGCTAGCTCAGAGAGGGAAAAATGGGAATGAAGTGAGGAGAGGTATACAGGGGGCTTCAAATATAATTGCAACGTTTTATGTTTTTAGTTGGGTTACAAACACATAAATGTTTATTACATTATTCTTTATATCTTTTGCTACATAAACAAATAAACTTACTGTGATCCCCCAGCCACCTCTTGGGTAAGTTCAGCCCGCCTACCTTCTCAGCTTCACCTGTTTCCAGCCTTTGATCTTTAGGCTCCAGTATCCATAAACTACTTCACATAGCCTTGCTTTGCTTATGCCTTTCCCTATGTCTGAGAGGCCTTTTCTGCCTTTCTCCTCTTGGTCACTCCTACATTTATCTGCCAGGTGTTACTCTTCTGAGAATATTTTCACAAACCTCCAGCTAGACTAAGTGTTCTTTTCCATGCTCCCAAAACTTCTGGTGAATGCCTCCATTGTGGCTATTAGAACATTATACTGAAATGAGCCTGGGTGGCTCAGTCAGTTAAGCATCCAACTCTTGATTTTGGCTCAGGTCATGATCTCACGGTTTATGAGACTGAGCCCTGTGTTGGGCTCCATGCTGTCAGAGTAGAGTCTGCTTGGGATCCTTTCTCTCTCCCTCTCTCTGCCCTTCCCCTGCTCATGCTTTCTCTCTCTCCCAAAATAAATAAACTTAAAAAAAAATCTAGAACATTATACTGAAATTATCTATCAATCTTTTGTCCCTAGCACCTAGACCAATGCAGGGGCATTCAGTAGACCTGCAATGCTTATGGAACTAAGTAGATTACACCCAGTTTGTGTGACTTTATACCAATAAGCAATTAATCCAACTCAAATCTCTGGTAGACAAATTCAATTCATCAAATAGTTATTAAGTGCCCAGCATAGAAAAGGTATTATGTGAGACCCTATTAGGCAAAGGATTCAAAGATGAATAAATGGATGAATAAGTGCCTGGGCTCAGAAACCTATAAAAGAGAAAAGCAGATGGGTATGAGGGGAGGTAATTTTGCCTCACCATCTGTGAAACATTCTATAAAACCAATGTAATCAAATCAATATGATATTGACATATGAATAGACAATCTGTGCAACAAAAAATCCAGAATTATACAATACATAACATTAGACAAAGATATTAGAGCTGTATGACAATTTTAAAGCAGTGATCATAAGAATGTTTCAATGAACAATTATAAACATGCTTGAAACAAAAAAAAACAGAAAGAGAAAATATAAGAAACAAATGTAAATTTCAGAACTGAAAAATACTATATCTGAAATAATGAAAACAGATGGACTCAACAGAAGAATAAAAACAATGGAGAAATAGAAAGTACTCAACATTAACAAAAGAGGAAATAGACTGAAAAAAATAAACTCAGGGATCTGTGGACTACAGCAAAATATATACAGCATTCAGATAATCAGAGACCCAAAGAAAAGAAGTGAGAGTGTGGGGATGAAAAATCATTCAAAGAAATAACAACTAAAAATTTCTTCACTAATATGACAGAAACATAGACCTACACATTCAGGAAGCTCAGTCAACACAAACAGTATAAACCCAAAGAAATACATGCCAAGACACATTATAGTCAAACTGCTGAAAACTAAAGAAAAAAGAAATTACAAGTAGCAAGAAATGACACATGTAAGGGAAAAAACAATTTGAATGAGAGCCAAAATTTCATCAGAAGCTATGGAGGCAAGAAGGAAGCAGCACAACATTCTTCCAAGTGCTGAAAGAACTATCAATCCAGCAAAAATATCCATTAGGAATAAAAGGGAAATCAAGACATTTACAGATGAAGGAGAACTAAGAAAATCTACTGACAGCAGGCCTATCCTAAAACTCTAAACAGAGAAGAAATGATAAAAGAAGAATCTTGAAACACCAGGAAGGAAGAAAGAACAACCAAAGAGTAAAAATACAGGCAAACAGGTGCGCCTGGGTGGTTCAGTCGGTTAAGCATCCGACTTCGGCTCAGGTCATGATCTCGTGGTTCGTGGGTTTGAGCCCTGCATTGAGTTCTTTGTGCTGACAGCTCAGAGCCTGGAGCCTGCTTCAAATTCTGTGTCTCCCTCTCTCTCTGCCCCTCCCCTGCTTGCTCGCTCTTTCTCTGTCTCTCAAAAATAAATAAACATTAAAAAAAATGCAGGTAAATACAATAGACTTTCCTTCTCTTGGGTGTTAGAAGTTATGTTTGACAGTGAAACAAAAATTGAAACACTGTATGATATGGTTCTCAATGTATGAAGAAATATTTAAGACAAATACATTATAAATGGGAAGGGTAAAGGGATGTGAATAGAGGTAAGGTTTCAACCTTCCCCTCAAACTGGTAAAATGTTAATTAAAATGTCAATACCAGACTGTGATATGATGTATATATCTATTATACATATAAATTAAACAAGAGCAACTACTAAAAACCTATACAGACCACAGGCTAAAAATTCATATGGAAATACAAGGGCCCTGAATAGCCATAATAATCTTGAAAAAGAAAAACAAAGTTGGAAGACTGACACTTTCTGATTTTAAAACTTACTAGAAATATATGGTAATTGGAATTGTGTGATACTGTTATAAGGACAGACCTATAGACCAATGGAATAGAATTCAAAGTGCAAAAATAAACAAATACATCTGTGGTTAACTGATTTTCGACAAAGGTGTCAAGACAATTCATTAGGGAAAGAATGGTCTTTTCAAATGGTTCTGAGACAACTGAACAGCCACATGAAAAAGAATGATATTGGACCCTTACCTCACATCATATACAGAAGTTGACTTGAAATGGATAAAAGACCTAAATGTAATAACTAAAACTATAAAGCTCTTAGAACACAGATGTAAATCTTCATGACCTTAAACTATGAATTAGGCAATGGTCTCTTAGATACGACACCGAAAACACAAGCAAATAAAGAAAAAAGTAGATAAACTGGACTTTTGTTCTTTCTAGGACACTATAATGAAACTGAAAAGACAACCCCCAGAGAGAAAATATTTTTAAATTACATATCAGATAAGGTACAATATCCAAAATATATATTAAAAAAAACTCTTACAACACAACAATAAAAAGACAAATCACCTAATCAAAAATTGGGCAAAAGTTCTGAATAGATTCTACTCCATAAAAAGATACACAAATGTCTAATAAGCACATGAAAAAATGTTTGACATCAACAATCATTAGGGAAATACAAATTAAAATCTCAGTGAGGGGTGCCTGGGTGGCTCTGTCGGTTAAGCATCCGACTTTGGCTCAGGTCATGATCTTACAGTTTGTGGGTTCAAGCCCTGCATCGGGGTCTGTGCTGACAGCTGAGTCTGGAGCCTGCTTCAGATTCTGTGTCTCCCTGTTTCTCTGCCCCTCCCCTGCTCACGCTCTGTCTCACTTTCTCAAAAATAAACATTAAAAAAATAAAAAATAAAATAAAATCTCAATGAGATACCACTTCACATGCACTAGGATGGCTATAATCGCAAAGACAGACAAGAACAAGTGTTGAGGAGGATGTGGAAAAATTGAGACCCTTATAAATTGCTAGTGGGAATGTAAAATGGTGTTAGGTACTTTAGAGAACAGTTTGGTAATTCCCCAAGAAGTTAAAACAGAGCTAACATATGACTCAGCAATTCCTTTCTTAGGTATGCACCCAAGAGAACTGAAAATATACATTAACACAAAACTTTGCACATGATCATTCATAGCAGCATTATTCATTATAGTCAAAAAGTGGGGACGCCTGGGTAGCTCAGTCGGTTAAGCGTCCAACTCTTGGTTTCGGCTCAGGTCATTATCTTATAGTTTGTGGGAGTGAGCCCCACATCGGGTCCTGTGCTGAAAGCATGGAGCGTGCTTGGGATTTATCTTTCCCTCTCTCTCTGACTCTCCCCAGCTTGCACTCTCTCTTGCTCTCTCTCAAAAAATAAACATAAATTAAAAAAAAAAACACTTAAAACAACACAAACGCCTATAAGATGATGAAAGGATAAACAATATGTGGTATATCCATGCAGTAGAATATTGTTCAGCCATTTAAAGACTAAGTACTGACAAATGCTATAACTTGGATGAACCCTGAAAATATTTTGCAGAGTGAAAAAGCCAGACACAAAGGACCACATATTGAACAGTTCCATTTGTATGAAATAGAAGAGGCAAATCCATATACAA